TTAGTAGGCTTAGATAAAACTAAGTATAATCTAACTTACTACTTTACTATAGGTTTATTTAAGATACTTTATAAGTATACTAGTATTATTTATAGTAAACTATATTACGTTAGTTAAAAGTTAACTAAGTATATATAAAACTTCTTATCTTACCTAACTTATATCTACGTAGTAGTTTTCTAGTTCTAAAGTTAATATTAGCTAAGTAGTAAATTATTTCTTAGACTATAGTAACTATTTTAGTTTTATTATTCTAAAGAATATTAACTAAGATATATCTTAAAAAAATATAAGTATAGCGTATAGTCTAAAAGTAGAGTAGACTAGCTAGACGTAGTAGAAGTACTTAGTAAATCTTAATAAATTTTTATACTACTATTAGTTCTAAATATAACTAAGTACTATTTAGATAAACTTAGTCTTTAAGTTTTTCTATTTTACGCACGCTCTTTATTATTACTTTATATTTTTATTTAGCTAGATCTAACTAGATTAGATCTAGAGTTAGCTACTTTATATTATAATTAGAATTTAGATTATTAGATTCTAATATTATTAAATACTTTAAAATATTACTAAGAAAAATCTTAATAGTAGTATATATACTACTAGTACTACTTAAAGGTATAGTATAGTAGTAAATAGTAGTAAGAGAGTATAGTTACTAAGTATATAAGCTTTAATTAGTAGCTTAAATTACTAGTATACTAGTAGCTATACGCTAATTTAAGTAAAGGTTAAGTTACTTTTACGTAATAAATTAAGAGTTAGCTAAGTTAAATCTAGAGGTTAGCTAAACTAATCTCTGCTAAGGTTACAACCGGCAGCTTCCTGCCGCTCGCTACTGCAGGGGTTAATGTATCGTATGATTCGATGAACTACCGAGGCACATCGCCCCGGGCCTTCTCGACGCATCGCACCTCCTCCATTTCGCGGCTCCGCCACGCGCACACCACAAGCAGCAACGACGCCATGCGGTACTCATCCTTCACATCTCTGCCTGTATGAGATGCGCATCCACTGAATTTTACACGCGACGTATGCGACAAACCCTTTGGTACAGGCGTTTAGGACACAGCGGCATTAGCTTCGTCAATATTGTGGATAATTTTCGCATCAATTTCATCTTGTTACACGCCATCCATCGCACGATAACATTACGAGACCAGCAAACTTCCCATTCGATCGTCTCTGAGCTGCGTCCCATACCACCCACCTCACAACAGATCTACCGCTAGCATCTCATGAACAGCTCCATCAAATCTCATCGAGACCTCGCCTCAGTGAAATACTGTATGCGGGAATGTCTGTTGCCCCGTTCGCGATCGCGACCTCGCGGATCATGGTGTATAGCATCTTGGTCTTGGGCCAGCGCGCCCGAGGCGGCATTGTGGCTCCCCTGCTCATGAGCAATTCCAGTAACTCCTTGCTGTTTCGGTTGAGAGCAACTTCCATCGGCGAAACCGTCTCTGTGGACCGCTGGTACCTAGGAAAGGCGCCATTGACGTCTGCACCTGCATCCAGGACCGCGGCGACGACCGGGATGTCGCTGGCCTTGATGGCGCAACAGAGGAAGTTGGTGAAAAGGGTTCCGTCGTTGATGTCCAATTCTTCGTCGTCCAGAAGCAAGTTGACCATGTCAACATTACCAGTACGACATGCAATTGTGAAGAGGCGATTATTGACCAGGCTGCCTGATGGATTCAGGCGTAGGATAGACTCTACTATGTCTGTGTTTCCGTGCTCGATGCCCATCTCGAGCCACCCGTTGTACGTGCGCTTCTCAACCCTGCGAAAGATTGTCTGGCGGAACTTGACAAGCTCATCCACGAAGCGTGTGTTGCCAGCCCGGATAGCGGAGCAAATCGCTTCTGCAAAGTTGTAGTCGTAAGAACCTAGAGTATCACGTTTGACCGACTTCTTGAGGTTATTCAGGTGGTGTAAGACTGCATCGAAAAGCTCGTCGTGTTTCGAAGTCACAGCCATCACCAGAGGGCCTTCGCCGAAGGTCGTGTAAGGAGACCAAATCGCGGGAGGCATTTGCGCTAGCAGAGGGCGAACCAAGTCAATCGCCTGAGTCGACATAGCCGCTACGATCTTCTCCCAGTGGTGCATGTCCGCGCCGTTTTCTGGATTGTTCCTCAACTGAATGGCTGGGTGGCGGTAGGAACGCCTCCAATTCATCATCATATACATTACTTCGTCAGGACCAGTGACTCGGACAAGACCTTCAACCATGCGGGTCTCAGTCTCCTTCCGCTGTCCTTTCGGGACTGAGAGTTCCGAAACCAAATAGCCAATCATTCGGTGGATCGTATTGAGTAGCCGGTTGTCGACATCGGCGGGCTTGTTCAGATGGGCAAGTATATACGTTGTGATGTTGGCAGTGATGACTCCCGGGATCAATCCAACGATATGCTTGGGCTGATTGCTGAGCAGGTCATGCTTGATTTCGCCAGCGAAAGTGTGACAAACGCTTCGAAGTTTCCAAGTGGCCCTGGGGCTATCAGAGTTGAGCGAGTGGATAATGTTTTGGAATATCTCCGTGGGTAGATCCAGAAGTTGCGCCATGTTGAGTTGTTCTTGCGCTCGGTTGATGTCGTATACGGCGACTGGGTCGTTGGAAGATGGAGAGTTATATGTGGAGGAGCTAGTGGCTGGGGGTTACTTTGTCAAATACGCTAAACAGCGCGCTAGTGCCATATTAAGGTGTTCGTGTGAAAGGCCTTCGACCCGCCTAGGGTAGGCCCAAGCGCTGAAGAGTTTGATCACATTCACTGCCACCATCACGAGAAGTGGCTCGAATTCGTGCCACATAGGTAGGGTTTGCTGCATACATCGTGTCAGATCTTAACAAGTAAACTGCTTCCAAGACAATGTATCCTTCTATTCTGCATGTCGGGTGTCAGGATATGGGAACAATGGTCCGTACCGTGGTAGAAATGCAATGAAATAGCTCTCGGGGTAATTATGTGCTAGGCCTCCAGCGATAATGGTGGGTGTATGGCTCTCGCTACTTGAAGCATTACCAACTAGATACGCTTGCACCGTGTGTACTCGCATAGCCTGCCCCGTGACAAGGTTCCCTGCTTTCCATGCTGCAATCTCCCAGTAGCCGTGTATTCCCCCACGGATGTACCAGAGATCTTAAGACAGCAAGGGCTCTCTACTGCTTCTGCTTGGTCGTTTTCTCCTGAGAGGCTTGCGCATTCCGGATGATGACTTGCATCTTTTTTGAGAGGTGCCAAGTATAGGTAGCAGGAACGCTGGCTCCACATTTGATCAAGTAGCACACGGCGTCAAAGTTGTTCAGGTAAATGGCGTACTCAAGTGGTGTAATGGCATCGCAATGCTTCAGGCGATGGGTCGTTATAACCAGATCAATGTCTGCACCAGCTTCGACGACTGCGCGAATTACCGCAACACCGCCAGCTCTTATGGAAGCCGCCAGGGCTGACATCTGGGCGCTACTAGAGTCTAGCTGAATGCTTCCGTAGTTGATGAGAGTGGTAACGATAGCTGAGTCTCCGGTCTTGACGCCCCGTTCGAAGATAGTAGTGTTGATCTTGAAGGGCTTGGTGTCGGGTGCGGCTTGGAGAAGAGTTCTGAGGACGTTGTTGCTTCGTGAGAGAATAGCACGATCAATCCACTGACGATAATAGGTTTTGTCGGGAAGAGTCAGGTAGCGACGAATGTAGCCAAGCAGGAGCTTTACCATGTCGACGTTGTCATCCGCGATAGCTGGTTGCATGGAGCCAAGCATACTGTATGGAGAACCGGAATTCATTACCTGAGACCTTTTGAACCTCTTGGACTTTTGTTGGTCCAGAACTGTCATCATAACAGTGATCATCTTGTGATCATCTTGTAGAACAGCAGCTAGCGTTGGCTCTTCAAACACATCCCGCGAGAGTGAGGTAGGAGCTTGGGGTAGAAGTTTTGCGACTACGTCGTAAGCACCTACACTTATCGCCGCGATGAGCTGATCATGATAGGTGATATCCTGGCTCAGTGCTTGGCGCCGTTTTTTGTATCTTTGCTCGCTCCCTGGCGAGGTTGAGCTATTCCGCCAGAGAAAGGTTTGAAGAAACGGACATGTCTGCGCAACGCCTGCACAAACCTCCAGGAGAATGTTACGGCCGTCGAGATTGTCTGTTGCGGTGAGCTCCTTGGTGACATACTCCACCATTTTCTGTATCTTGGCGGGAAGCTCCGGTAAGACATCGCGTGGACTCTTGACGTGATATGCGAGGTAGTGCTTCATGTTGTCTTTGTGGGCGAGTAGGGACCAGGCGTAGTAGCCGCGAAACGCCTGTCTAGGTTGTACGGCTAGAATGTTTTCACTGATGTCCTGATCGAAGGTCCCTATAGAATGATCAGCCCTGAGCATCTGCGCGACTACAGGAGTGAGAGTCTTACGACACACGCTTCGCAGTTTCCAGGCGCCTAGCACACCAGTATCACTGACGAGGCAGTGAATTATGTGCCTGAAGATCTCAGGCGGAAAGTCGAGCAAGTCCATCGCAGTGACTGAAGTCGTTACTCCAAGCTCGTCACTTCTCGAATCTGGCTGATGTTAGTACATATCGCAATCAAGCCGACGGGGATTGTTTACGTAGGGGTTTCAGTCGTTGCAGTCGCGACACAGTGCGGTGGAGAAAGGAAGGAAGCAGAGTGGGTTGCCTCAATAGGGAAAGGGCCTGTGTGCCAAGCTTTCCTGGTCCAGGCAGAGGTAAAGGTAGTCGCAACCGTCGATCACCTCGACTTATGTATAGCCCTGGCAACTGCAATTCGAGGCGAGCGCGACTTTGATGACGAAATAGGCCGTCATAGGTACCAGGCAGCCATGATTTTGAGCAGAAAATAATGACTTCTAAGATAGGTACAGTACGAACCCCAGCGCCCGCAGATCCCATAAGTAAAATAGTAAAAGAACGTGTCCAAAGGGAGCTGCCCGCCGTCATCGCAAATGATCTAGTATGGTCGTCCAATCGTATGGGCTAGATGATGGCTCCAACCTTGTGCTGCGCCTGATATTTCTCGATATCTTCCTCGCTCATTCTCTTGAAGCGCTTATACTTTAGGACATGTTTGCCTCCATCTTGGCTGATCTTTGCTTGTCGCAGCACCTCGTACGTAGCCTCATGCATTGGCCAGCCCTTCATGTTGGGCAGACGTGCGCCTGCATCGATCAGACGCTGAGTTATGATCGGATTCTTCTTGAATATCGCGAGTTCAATCGGAAGCATGTCTTGACGGTTGAACTTCGACTTAGTGTTCACGCTGGCTCCAGCTTTCAAAAGTAACTCGACGATCTCGATACAGTCCGAGCGAACGCCCTCAATCATAGCAGAAGCTGTTGTTTTCGTCTGCAAGGGATCGATGTAGCCTCTATCGAAGAACAACTCGACGATGTCCTCACGTCCATGCGTACATGCGATAGAGTACTGAGCGAAGGTGATGCGGGCTGCGGACCGGTTCCTATCGCATGATGTGTATGCTGTGTCCAACACGTACTGAAAGACGATCAGAGTCGACTCGCGGATGGCTTGCTCGAGCAAAAGGTTGTACATAGCCTTTGAGAAAGTGAGCCCTTCTTCTTTATACCAGGTAACAAGAATGGTAAGTATCTCCAAGTCGGAACGTTCGAGAACACGAAATATCACCTCCATGAGACGAAATCCGTTCTTCTTCTTATACCGCCAACGAAACGGATGTGCCTTCAGAAGCTCTTGCACTTCTTCCGTTTGTTTTGGGTCCTTCAGAGCAGTGCCAAGATGATGTAGCATAGCTTTGAGAACGGGAATCTGTCGATCTGTGCTCGCTCGCTCAAGTGGACTTCCGAAAACAGGATGAGGGTCGTAGTTGCTGAGTGATTTCATCACAGTTCCAACAAGATCATGATGTCCAAGGCTTGACGCAGCTATAAGCTTGTCCATTTCTCCAAATGGTATGTGAGAGAGGAAATCCCCGTAGTATGCATGTTCATCAATCAGAGCACAAAAGACCGTGCTAGCCGAGGTGGGGTGACCTAGTTTATCGCAGAGATCCCGCCTTAATACTTCTTTCTCACTCTTCTTGGTGATTTCTAGCTCTTCTGCAAGGTAATCGACCATGTCATTGATTCTGTCGGGTAGATAAGGCTGGGCCTCCAGAGGATCCTTGCTGCGGTAGTAGAGATAGAGACCAAGATTCCGAGAAAAGATCGTGTGTAGTGAACGCCAAGGACGGAAGGCTTCGATGGACTGTTTTGCGAAGATGTCGAACGTTATAGCTGCCTTGAATGTGCCTTTACTCGGTCAACTTGCGCTCGGAATATGAGACCTCACCACCGTTGTACTCACGACAGACCCCACGGAGCTTCCAGGCTTTGCCGACACCAGCGATAGAAACCAGCTCGTGGGCGACATTCTCAAACACTTCCGGTGGGAAATCTAAGAGCGGCATTGTAGCAGACGGTATCGACGATAAATCTTTGGTGCTTCTAGCCTGCGAGATGCTGACGTTAGCTTCTTATAAGAGATTAAGGCCGCTGTGGTACCTTTGTAGTCTGTATACTTGCTTTTGCGCGCTTCATGGTGATATCCCCGCTTTAAGATCGCCTCAGTGAACAAGTCGGGGAAATGAGGATGAAGAGAAAGTTGGAAGAGGAGTACAGTAGTTGCCGTGCTAGATATACTGCTCTAGTCTGGCGCTAGCGTAGTGGTTGTACTCTTGGTAAGAGAGTCGTCTCGGTGGGTAGCAAGGTACCCAGGTAAAGGTAGCAGTGATATATACACGTCCCGTACAGCTGTCCGGGTAAGCCCAAGTAGCCAGTGAACTGGCAGGTGATGTGCAATGGTCAGTCCTGCACCTCGTCCTCCATGTACTCCTGCAGCAGGTCCTTGCGGCCGGCGTACGGCGACGGCTCGACATACGTGCCCTGGAAATGTGCCATCCAATTCTCTCCTACTCGCGCCGGCGTGCTTTCCCGGTCGACTGGGATTGCCGTGTTGCTATCACAGACGCTCAAGTCGCCTATGTCGAAACGAACATTTCCCTCGCCTTGTTGTATCCCTCGCATAACGCGTGTGAACGATTCAGAAAAGAAACAGCAACTGTCCAGGAGGCTAAGCGGGCTTATGGGACGTGGAGCGAGCGATTCGAGTGTTCTTTGCCACCTGGCATCTTCGAGCATTTGCTCAAGGAGAGCGAGCGTGCTTGCAGTGTTTCTGGAGTGGAAGATCAAAGACAAGCGATCGGGAGACAATCTCGATGAAAGAGCCACGGCTTCCTCAAACCACCGCATGAAGGCCTGAGATACGCGCACTCGTTCTATCTCTCCGTCGATGTCCCAGACTTGACCATCGTGGTATTGATCTACGAGTTGCTCGAAATAGGGCTGACCGATCTTACTCGTGATGGCCATAGTCTTTGTATCCACTTGGCGACGAATACTGATGCGGGGATACTGTTGCAAAATGCTGACCAGACCCAGGCCATGGCACTCCGAATATGCTATGCTGGCGTGGGCTTCATCGAGTACAATCTTGCGAACAGCGGATAGAACGCTCGGGTCTAGACCGTTGAGAAATTGTATGGCAAGCGCAGCTGCGGAGAAGTAGCGCTTAATGGGACCGTCCTCATATATGGGGCTATCACTCTTTGATGAACTCCAGGAGATGCATTGTTCTTTCAGCGAGGCGATTTCTGCTGGGTTGGGTATCATCCAAGGGTCAGGGGTCCCAGCGAGCAGTGATGCTACATTTGGCTGTTCAGGCCGCTGCCCAAGGACTTCGTCATCTTTCCAAAACTCCCACCACCTTCTTGTCCCCTTTCCCCGGGACAGCATGAACTTGACGAATCCACGATGAGTGGAAGGTGGATGACGCCAAAGTCTCCAGTCAACCACCATTTGCAGGGGGGTCGGTGCAATCGTTTCATGACCTCCGCGAAGGCGGTGAAGCAGCGAGAGACATTGGGGAAAGTCGACTCCGGCATGCTCAATCATATCTTCGGTGATGGCTTTACGAACCTTGTAGAGTTGGTAGGCGGTCTTTATATGAATCCATTTGAGAGCGATTGCAAAGGACGCGGCTCTATCGCTCGTCTCACGGTCGACCCAGCCCGTCCGAAAAGTGACGGTATTCTTTTCAAAGATGACGGGTCTTAACTCGTGGGCTACTTGACTGCAGGTTTGCATGAATGCGAGATTGATCGGGTCGCCGTTGGCTGTGCGTAGCCTGCGCGTGCGCTGATTATAGAGATAGCCGCCATCCTGGGCGGCATAGTAGGTATAAATCTCATCCCGTAACTCTCGAGGCAGATCGAAAAACCCCAGCATGGCAATGTTGTAAGTGGTGACGGGTTGCGGGATAGGTTGAGTGTTCTGATGAAATGGGTGAGTGATGATGGACAACTAACGAAGGAGCGAGCCATGGACCCCACACATGTCGCCAAGAGGAAGCGGTAGCGAGAGCGCTCAACCATGAGCTGCGCTGAACGAAGTGAGACTAGCGACATCGCTGTGCCAAACAACACCGATGCCTAGAGCACTGCGTTGTCTCTGTGGCAATGCGTGCAAGTGCAAAAAGCACGAAGATTGACCGAGACAGTGTCGGTTGAACAATTGATTCGCGTGCCAACACACCTCAACCGGCATGACGTCTCTAGTGTATCGTAGATAACCCAAACGCCATGAAAATGCAGCCTGTATAAGGATCGAGACCGATGTACACCATATGATACATTCCGTCATTGTAATCCATCCGTCTCTTCTGTACACCCGCTCATGATGCCATCACCTGAAGTTGGCTGTTCCTGGCACGTCCTTGATCTCCTCAAACTTGGTGCCCATCTTGACGACGCTGTATCTTATCAACCGAGGGTCCAAGCTCATGGTTCGCCGTAAAGCGTGCTGTGCGCGGGCGCTCGCATCGAAGCGCATGATGAAGTGGTGGCCGTAGTGGTGTGTGGTTTGCAGCTTCTTCGCTGGCTTGGGTAGGAGGAAGGTGCCCCAGTTGGAGACGCCGCGGACTACGCCTTGTTGATCGAGGACAATCTTTCCGGCGGTTTTGGCGATTCTGGAACATATCGGGTCAGCGTTTGGCTGGGGGTGTTGGAGGGCGAATTTACTCTTTAACTTCAGAGAGGCGGCCGGGCCGTACCTGCACTTGTCAGCATGTACTCTGTTGATCAATGCGACGCTCCTCATACCACTCCGATCATCTCGTACAGCATCTTGCCTCGTTTGCGCCGTGGTGTTGCTGCCGTCGTGCCTTCCGTCGCGAAAAGTGTTCGAATGCGGCCAACCTTTCCGTAATCGCGGAGGAGCTCCACCAATGTCTTGGCGCGTGTTATCACCTTTCCAGCGCCCGCAACTTGAAGCTTCACAACCCACACACAATCTGCTACAATGGCTGCCCGGACTTCAATCGCACGCGCTGCGCGCCAATTCACCTCCGCCGCCGCGAAGAGGCCATCACCATTCGTCTGCCAGAGGTGGCAGCAGGCGACTCAGAAGCCACGGTTATTCTCGGTATCTGCCGCACGTACGCACATCTGAAGCTCTGAGAAGCAATTGAGAGGCGAGCATGGGTGCTGACTGAGGGTAGTGAAGGAGAAGAAGTACACCGAGGACCATGAGTGGATTGAGATGTCTGCAGACGGCAAGACATGTATGCGCACCCTCCCCCACATCCCCACATCCCCATACGCCCTTACTGTCCAAGCGCTCTGTGACTGACACACCGCGCAGGCACCCTAGGTATCTCCGAATACGCGGCTAAGGCCCTCGGCGACGTCGTCTACATCGAGCTTCCCCAGATCGAAATGGATGTTAGCGAAGGCGATGCCATTGGCGCCGTCGAGTCCGTCAAGTCTGCCTCAGACATCCTCACACCTATCTCTGGTACCGTCGCTGAAGTCAACTCAGCGCTGGAGCAGACTCCAGGCAATGTCAACAAGGACCCCGAGGGCGAGGCGTGGATCGCCAAGATCACCGTGTCTGGAGAGCCAAGCGGCAAGACCATGACCAAGGAGGAGTACGCCGAGTTTACTGAAGAGTAGACGTGCGGGAAGGAGTTCGGGGGAAGGATGGATGCATGGGATTCAGGCACCTAGGCGCATACTTCAACATGAAATGCGAGACTTCAGTCAAAATCTCCTTCTGCGCGTATCAGCTATCGAAATCGCCATACCTGCGAGAGAGAGACTACAGAGCATTGACAGCAAACAGGATTGCACTGACATCCCAGGAATTTCGTACATTTCTACGCCAAACGATCCTCCTCTTCCCATGCTGTTTCCGACTCCCCAATCCTGTCCACAGCTTCAGTCACCATCTCCGAAACCTCCAAATACAGATCACGAAAGGCTTCCTCCTTCCCTATACCCCTGCCCTCAAGTATAATCTTATCATCAACGACAAGATACATGACTTATGTGCTGTCGCGCGCAGGGCGACTACCCATCTTCCGCAAACGAAAATACACGTCTGATCTGATGTCCAGCTGAGGGAAGTAGCCTTGCTTATACAGCCAGGCCATATTTGCTACTCAAGGGGTCAGTAAACATACAGAATATTTGAATACGGCCGATCGAGCGAAAAGCGAGGGAAATGAATGAGCGGGTCATACTCAGGAGGGAGTTACTCACTGGTCAAGCTAACATCGGACTTGGAGACCCGAAGCAAGAGCTCGTTGAATCTAATGAAGATGTCTTGTAGCGACAGATACTTGCGATCTGTATCCTGTTAATTGGGTGCGCTCTCATTAAAGTGAATCTGGATCCAACGTACCGTTGGCATGCCATAGTCTAGTATCTTCGCGCTCTGCGACTTCCTCCGCTGACTCGGTTGAAGCAGATGGCGACTTCAATGGGCTTTTCATGGATTCCGAGGGTTTCTCTTCTTTTCCAATACCCATGGCGAGGGCGACGTATCCCAGCATGGTCGTGGGAGGGAGCATGCATAAGACGCATATCGTAGTTAAAAGCATGGCTTGATGTTGTAGGTTGATACACCAGGAGGCTTATTGTGTTCGAAAAAGCGAGGGCTGATGGTGAATTTCCACTTCGCTTATATATAGCATCGAGCGCTTGATATCTGGCTGTCGCTATGCGAACCTTGGGAGAGATGTTTACGAAGCGAGAGTAGCCAGGTTATGTCTTCCACGGGTCAGAGACTACGAGCCAACCAGACCTTCCGCAATTCATACGACCCATGAACAATGATATGGTCTCGAATGAGAAGCATGGAAACTCTACAAACTTCTTCCCAGTGTTCCAAGGTTCACGTATCTCAGTCACACCACGCTTCTAACCTTTATGAAAAAAACATATAGATACGCACACCCGCACCAACACCGCGATGACCAGCTAAAGACCTACAGATCACACCGCCGCATACGTTCCCAAGGCACAAAGCTGACCACGAAATCTCATCAAAACTTCAACATGACGAACGGCAAAGCCATAACACCCGGCGATAGCGCCCTCACTACAGGCCCAACTACAGATCCCAATCGACCATCATCTCCAAGGTCCTTGGTGTCAGAATTGAGAGTACTACTGGGAGTGATAGATTCCCGCCCGAAGCCCACTTTCACACAATCGCAAGTCGCAGTCGAACTCAAATCGGCATTCTCACGTTATTTTTTCATCTACGACGACGATGATGATGACGAAGATGACGAGGACGACGTTGATGAGTGGCTGAAAGAGAGCATAAGTGCGCAATTTCCCGCCCCATTCCGACTCATATCCCGCTAACACGAAAGTCAGACAACCTATCTTTCCTCGCCGTAAACAATCGCTTCCCTTCCAGTCTTTCGCTGCAGGACTATGCAAAGATCGACGTGTTGACCTCTCTGCGGGGTCATAATCAGTATTCAATGCTCCTGGTGCACGAGAACAAGGTGTTGGTCGAGGGACAAGCTGGCGAACATAGTAAAATGGCTAAGGGCTTGTTTAAGTCGATTGCGATGGAGGTGGGGAAGGTTATCAAGGAGAGGAAGGAGATGGGCGAGCGATGGGTCGGCCCGTGAGAGAACAAGGGGGTTTGTAGAGAGGACTGAGATGTTGGTGTTGGATATAGTGTGTATTGAAGACTTATAGCTATGTACATACCAAACCACCAGTCGGAATTAATCCTCCATCGTCCACATTTCCCTTCCTTACCACACGCTCTATCAACAACCTATCCAGTCCACACATTGGGCCCAGGGCAAGTATACGTAGTGGCCTTGCTACCATATGTATCAACCATGATTCCTGGGTCACTCTGCGCCGCGTATCCGGGAATGTTCGCAAGGAAGTCACCACTCGGCGAAGCACTGCCGGAACCCGTGACTTCGATTTGTGCGCATTCAGCATAGAACTGAGGTGAGTTGGCCTGGTGAAGAGCAAGAAGCTCGTGGCGAACGAGGTAGTTGCCCGGTGCGAGGGACGCGGGGACCTTGGATTCCCAGTACAAGTTCTTGAGGACCTTGGCGGTGCCCCAGCTGCGGCCCGAGAGGGGAGGTGCGGTCATGCCTTCTTGGTCGATCTAGCCAGCGTCGTTAGTAAGAGACTTGTGAATATCAGACTCGATAAGATGTGTACCTTGAACCACTTCTTTCCAGAACCGTCACAGCTCTTAAAGTCGCCAGAGCACTTATACATCCACACCATGACGGGGCCTTGCTCGTGGGTCCATTGCTTCCAGTTTGCGCGGATCTTCCCGCCGGCTGCTACCTTGGCGGAGAGATCGGCTGAGGTGCCGCCGTTGCACATAACCTTCTTGTCGTTGACGCTCATGGTGGGGTTGTAGTCAGGCCATTGGCGTTGAATGGTCTTGGGTGAGGAGGAGGGCGAGAAGCCTTCGTATCTGAGGTGGGAGTCAGGTAATTGTCTTGATGGTACTGCTGAAGTTGAGGGATGGCTTACCCGGGGTAGGTCACTCCGTCGATGACATAGCTGGTGACAGCGCCGTGGGCTGCGGCTTGGGCTGCGAGGAGCGCTGTGGGTAAGAGGACGTTTGAGAACAGCATATTGAAGGCGAACAAATGTGTACTTCGAGGTGTGATGTGATATTCATCCCGTCTGCACCCCAGCTTTATATACTCGCGTCGTTGCAGCATCGCCCGACCTCAACGCCCACCACTACTCTCCAATATCCACCATGATCACATTACTACAGCCCACCACTCACCTCTTTCTGACAAGCCTTGTCGCGCCCACTTCACATAAACGCGATAGTACTACCTCAATATCCACGTAATATACAAAGATGCTGTGCCCGGACCGGTTAAACACCATTGGCTGCACAACACTATACATGCTTCGCTAGCGAGCGAGCCTCCATGTCGGCTCTTGGGTCCCGAGCCAGATCGGGAGAATGATGGGGCCGCGAGCGGTACCCCGGATGTTTAATCTGCACGCGAAGGTTGGGATGTGCGGCGTGACGAGGCACAAGGTGAATGGCGCATGTGTTGTCGTGTAAGCGATGATATTCTGGAATATGCAGAAGAAAGGCACATGTGAGGCGGAAGAGGCGGAAGAGGCGTCAATAGCAGTGGGAAGAAGTTTTAATGGGGGTGTCGTTTCAGGTGCTCGATGCGAACGAGTGCAGCGACGAATGATCTAAACACTTAACCGGTAGTCATACAATGAAGTATTGGCTTGATTTGTGAGTATCTTTGGCTGGATGAGCCTCACACTGTAAGATGAAGAGCATCTTCCTAGTCACCTTAGAAGGCGAGGTTCATGTTGGCTGCGCAATCGTGCTAACGACCGATACCTGTCTGAGGTGTGAATGCCACGCGCAGGATGCGTCTGGGTGCACTTCGTAACAGTTGTGGCTTGAATGGGACCTGCCGACAGTTGAACACGAAGCAAAGACCCCCGATGACCTCATGAAAGCGATGATAAAAGTGATGGAAGTCGCGAAAGAGCACTGGAGGTGTCAGCACAAGCACCAGGCGGAGGCGCTAGCCGACACGCTAGCTGAGTGCCACCGGGCCTTTCTTAGCACTCCGCGAGTTTCATCAACTCCACATGACACAGAGAGTGCAAAGAGCAAGATCATAAAGTGGAAATTCATTGCGAAAACGACTGTGACCCAAGGCGTGGTCTGGTATCTCTCACCCTGTCCAAATTTTGCAAGGAAAAAAACATAAGCGCCTCCAGCGTACTAACAACAGATGATCTAAAAGTTCTTCGACGCTTCAACCCCCTTTCCGTCTCCGCCGTGCATGATTTCTTCATCGTAACGATCAGCATCGCTATCGGTGTATGCGACACTGATGTCTGTGATCTCGTCGCCAACTTCCATCCAGACGTCACTAGTCGCTGGGATAGGGCTGATCTTGCACAGCGCCCAATACGTAATGCTTGCGACCAGAAAACCAGCAAAGAAGTTGAGGTCATAGATGCGCTTCGCACCAATGGGTACGTCGCGACCGATAGCTCCTGCGAACCCGACGACGTTGATGAGGATACCGGCAATGTACGCTGCGTAGCCGCGCCAGTGGAATCCAAGGGTGTAGTAGTAAGGACCAGTCTTCTTTCCAGAGTATAGGTCCTTGATCTGAAGGTAACCTTTTCGGACGATGTAGTAGTCGCAGATCATGACACCCGCAATGGAGGAAAGGAAGACGGAGTAGGCAGAGAGGTAGGTTGTGAAATTGTTGGTGTCGGAGAGGAGGTTCCATGGGCACATGACGAGGCCGACGAGCGCACAGATGTATCCACCACGTCTGATACTAATCCATCGGGGTGCAAGTGCTGTCATATCAGTTCCGGCACTGATGGAGTTCGCTGCGATGTTGGTTCCGAGTTGGGCGAGCGCGAAGGCTGCGGCGATGCAGAAGACACCGAAACGTTGCGCTGAGCCACCCTCATCCAGGAAAGACTCCAGCAACTTCAAAGGATCCCAGATAGCCTCGCCGAAGATCACAGTGGATGAAGATGAGACGATGATACCAATGAACGAGGTGATGGCAAATCCAATGGGGATAGTAAGCAGTTGCGGAAGGAAGGCGTTCGATGGCTTCTTCGCAAAACGGGCGAAATCAGGGTCGTTGACGATCAAGGTGGCGAAGTTCGCAATGGCACTCATGATTCCGCGGACCATCATCCAGCCAAGCGCAGATCCGCTGAGTGTACCTTGTTGGTGAACAATCGGTCCCAATCCCTTCGCACGAACGACGGCCCAGATGAAGAAGGCAACGCCAGCAGTCGGAACGACATAGGCCTTTACGGTAAACAGGTGGCGGATCTTGTGTACTGGCGGGTAGATGAAGGGTAGCGATCCAGCCCAGAAGAGGAAAAAGGACACAAAGGCGACGGTGGTCGTGCCGGAGCTGGGGATGCCGTTGGTGATGCCACCTGTACCGGGACCCTCAGAGTCTCGCCAGTTGTTCCAGATGGCGCGAATCATGAGGCGAACACAAGTACCGCCAATCCATGCTTGTACACCGTACCAGATACTGGCCATGGCTGCACGGTTGAAAACGGGCCATAATGCTCCCCAGATACCGAAAGATGAACGGTTGACAACGGGGAAGGAGATGTGGTATGTTGCGCCGATACGGCCAGTCATGCAGACAAAGCAGGCAGCGATGGAGTAGCCAAGCTATCAGTCAAGTCAGCCAATGTCGGTCTAGTTAATATCGATTTCCATACCCAGACACATATCCAAGATTGCCACCATGAAAGACCGTCAACAATGTTTGCGGACGAGATCATCCAGGTGTTGATGTTGAACGAGTCGGCTGCACAGTATTAGCCTAAGTCTGTCGTTGCTTGGGAAAATGTTCGACGTACCGACCCAAAAGCCCACGAAATTCCAAGCGCCCCATTGACGACGCTCCGGCTCGACAGGCTTCAAATCGTGGTTGAAGAGCATAAGCTGCGCAGTGGTGAGGTTGGGTTCGCTCTCCACGGCGAGCTTGTCGGCCCAGTATGCGAC